ATAAAGGCGAGAGAAAACGAGAGAGAAGGGTGTGTGTGGAGTCGCGGCTAGGCACTCGCACAACGACCAGAGGGGTGAGTCTCCGGGAATAAGCGGCGAGAGAAATGACAGCGAGAAGGACAGCGAACCTTGGCGCTGGGAAACCGAGGAAGCGTGGCGAACACCCGACGATGGAGACAGCTTTGACCTTCTGTTCACATCGGAAAAACCTGCTGCACATCTCCGCTGCTAACTTGCACCTCCTACCCTGCTGCGCTACTGCATGCTGGATCTCTATTACATCTGCGGAATTCAGCGCTTGGAAATCTTCGCTGCTTACATTTTTGCTCGTAAGGGCCCAGTACTCGCTTTGAATTTCGCGGCCGCGAGTCCTGCCGCCGAGCGCGAGCATCGCGTCGCATGTGGCGCCCCTCGCGACCTGATTGGTCGCCGCGATCTACCCTACGCGATCCTAGCGCACTCAAACGCATCGACCCCTAATCGATCTCGATCCTCGCTCTCTTGGTCGCAGCCTTTTGAACAGGACGGACGCACTAACGGCACTCCCGACGATCGATCGTTGAACTGGGAACTTGAAGATTGTGCTGAATGGAAAAGGACGACGACGTACGGTGAGATGTCCTCGTCAATTTGTGAGCCACGAATCCGCGTTACTCGAGTCTCGTGTCGAGGCTAGTCGCTGAATTTCGCGTTTAGATACCGGCAAGGACATAACCTTCGCCATAGTTTTGGATTTTCGGCAGCGGCTAGAATCGGATTCCACGGGGCTTTGTGGTATTAATTCGTAGGCTTAAGTGCGTGTCGCGTAACTACTCTATTGAGTAGTACAAGCCCTGGAGTACCAGTAAAGCGCCAAGCAGCAATTTTCGTTCTTTCATTGTGTTTTGCGTGTATTAGTGTTTGTCTAGTGTATCGTTTCGCGACCGACCTACTCTGTACCGGGTATCGTACCGATCATCGTATCGAATACCGTATCGAGTATCGTTTTCTGAAATTAACGCTATCGTAACGTGTCGCATCTTGCATACTAATTACTGCTTAGTTTCACCTGCTGCTGTATCAATCTTTTACGCTACTCTATCGTGCCGCTATTACATTCTCTACGGCATTTTGATGTGGATTTCCCGAGTGATCTGCCAAGAGCGAGAGGTGAGCGATTCGGAAGAGCTATACTAAAAAAATTTCGTACCGTTATCGTATCGAATCACAGAGATCTATCGTACCGTACCCGGGGATCTCTCGGATCGAAGATCGCCTAGCTCTCGTTCCGGGGAACAAGCTCTTCCGACTTCGTGAGCGCTTCGCTCAGGTATCCTTATTGGCACGTGCATGCCACGCTATATTTGATTGCTTAAGTACCCTGTGACCGGGGACGGGAATTCGGCGAGAGCTTTGCGCCGTGCCTGGCGTAAGCCTGACCAGCCCCTGCGAAATCAAGTAAGTCCCGCGGCGTAGATATTACACCTAGCGGCCCGCCTAGTGGTACGTGCACGATTTGGCTAGATTAATTAATTCCACCGTTTCCAGCTTCAGGAAGGCTTTGAGTAACACGCTTGTTTCCCTGTCTATTATACCGCCTAGTGGTGTATAGCGTATGTGAAGTCAGCGCGACGACGTAGCGTCCTCGATATCACGAGTCGATATACGAAATTGATCCTGCGATAGATCACGCGTCTGTTGGAAGTGTTTTGTTAATCGTCCCTGTACTTTTCTAGTTTCTATTTTCTTTTTATGTTATATTCTTTTGTAATTACTGCCGCCACGACAAAGCGATCTCGCCGTATCCTATCGGTGAACTTTATTTTGTATTTTTTTTGTTATTTTTGCTAAGTTGTCCCTTATTCCGCGGCGTTATAATAAATTGTTTATTTCTTTCTGTCTATCTGCAGTGTGGTTGATTACGATCCTAATCCGAGATTTGTTCGGAACAGCCCTGTTTATTTATCGTCCGACCCACCCCCTCTCCGTTTCAAATAGAGCTAGTCGGCCCATTGTGTCGAGCGACGCACATTTTTGACGCGAGTACGCGTCTGGCGCCCACAATTGTATCCAAGGATCCGTCGGCTCGGTACAGTGGTTGCTCGGTTTAACACCCTTTTCTCTCCTGCTGATCTAGACGTTTCCTATCTCGCGGACTTCCGTCTGTGTCCCGAGTTTGTACTTCCGTTTCGGGCGGGACGACGCGGGAATTGCGTAAGACCAAAGAAAAAAAAACGTCACAGTATATATATATATGAATATATATACGTATTCACAAGTAAACTTTTTTACAAGTGAGTTTTTTCTATCGCACAAAACATCCTGCGATCAGCTCTTAAAACCCTATATATATTTGTTAATTATCTTAATTATTACATTCATACAAGATGGCGACACCAATATANCAAAAAACAACAAGACATAAAAAAATAAGTTGTGAGATAAGTGGTTGCGAAGNAATGAGACTAACCACAATGTTTGCGAAACGCTGACATTCAAAACTGCGTACAGTGCGGTTACCATCCGGAAAACCAATAGCANAAATAATGAGATTACTTTTATGGTCAAAAATTTGAAAATTCTGATTAAGTGAACCAAAAACACGAAAGCATTATAAGATACATTCCAACTATTTATTTGGATTTAAAGTAGCAGATTTTTCTATATTTTTCGAAGATTATTAATTTCTGATAAAAAAAAAAACGTAGCAAAAAAATCTAATAAATTTCTGATAAATATTTTAGAATACCTATATAAATAAGTACTTAAAAAAAATCGTTTCGATATTGATAATAGTTTAGTAGAGAATGCATTTCTTTTATAAATAGCACANATTTTAACTATTTATTTAATGTATAGTAATTATGTAAATAAAAATCTACGATTGCCTTTTTTTTACTTGTTCATGTACATTACAAAAAAATCCGGTACTTGACGCCAAGAAATTTGTTAAAATACTTAAAAATTTNGCTGAAAAAGATGAGTCTCTGAGCGATCCATCATGACTCAAAGGATTAAGCTGTAATATTAATACAAAACTTACAAGTTGTCGACAAGCAGCGTCATTTGTGTGTAGTAAATGCTCCATGTCGCAGAAATTTTGCCAATGTTGCAGTGGGAAAGCTGGCAAAATATTTTCTTCTGGCTGTTCGTCTTTTTGTTTGGCAACAGCTTCTTTATCTATATGAGTAGTAAGCTTGTTGAAGCTTAATTTGGTGATCATGTCCACAAGTGTGCGCATATCGAATTTTATCATCGTCAGATCTCTAATCACATGCTTCTCGAATTCTGTTCAAGAAATTATAAAATATGTAACTTCCGAGATTATCAAAAATATTTATTATTGTAAGTTGCAACAGTAAAATAATATACCTGAGTCTCCAACATATTGTGGTTTTTTTATTTTGTTAGATGTTTGTGCTTGATGAATTTGTTGAATGAGTTGATCAGCCAGTTTGTTGACTTCAACTACTCTATTCTCCGGACTGTGCTGTGGATATAGCGTAACTGCACATGAAGTACCTGAAAAATTATTATGTTATACTTTTTATTTTTATTTTATACTAAATTAATAGAAGTAAAATAAATTTATTTTATTAGTATATGTTTTATTAGTATATGTTTTGTGTGCGATTAAAAATTCGGAAATAACGATTTATGCCGAACCTACTAAATTCCGTTATGTATAACCAAGCTGCTAGAAATACGAAATAACAAAAACCAAAAGATTATACCTTCTTTGTACTGGTCACTGTAGATATTAAGTGACGACAGTGAACGTATAGCGGCATCTTTTTTTGATTTCGGAGCAGAAACTGTATTCATAATTTGCTTCGATTTTTCTTGCAGACGTTTTGGTATCTGTAGCTCGAAACTTCCATGATCTTTTGCCGTTGATTGCGAAATCTCATTTTCTTCGCTATCGGATAAATTCAAAACAAATGTGGATTTTGGCTTACAATTCTTTTGGAATTGTTTCTGGCTAAATGATTTACAAATCGGAACGCTGTNTTTTTTAGATTTTACATTGTCTTTGTTTGATTCGGATGAATCAGTGTAATATTTCTTATTGCGTTTATGCACTTGTTTACTGGTAATTTCTGCTTCGCTAGGGAAATCGGATGTTACTTCAGCTAGCCCTAAGTTTNGACGAGCTGTTTCATAGTCATCTAAACAATATATGTATACACACTTATTTTTATTAGAACATATTAGCGTANTTTGAAATAAGTTACATATCAATAATAAATTAATAGTATCAACTTTAGTAAATAAAAGTATACTATACACGCATAAGTACCAAAAGTATTAAGGATTCTGCACTGGAAGGATGGCCAATTTTCCTTTGGTACCGACCTATTTTTAACATATTTTGTTGGAAAATTTACATCACGTGGCGGCCATGAGCAGTAAGAATCACATATCCAAAAATCGGGAACAACTTCCACGGCTTTCTCTTTAGTGAAGTCGACGATGCAAAATTTTAAAGACATCTCTAGATTCATGTGCAAACATATTTTCAAAGTTAATGACCATGGATTAGTGGAAAAGCGACAACATTTCTGTGATGGCCTTNAGATTCGTTTGATTGGTCAAAAATCGGAAGAACAACAGCTTTATTCTTAATATTAGTAATTGAAAATGTTTGCAAGCTACCATATTCTTGAGAAAATTGTATAATGCCGAAGCACGTTGACGGCGCTGGCGAATGNAAAAAAGGTTTTCCGTTTTTTAACTTTCTACCAATTACTATTACGGAGTTATTGCGATAGCAAATATTTTCCACCATTACAACACTTTCGTCAGTCATGATACAGTAGTTGTTTGGTNTTTTTGTCGTAATTTTAAAATTCTTGAACTGTATGTCCTTGTGCATAGGTGACGTACATTCTCCTATCACCGTTCCATTATAGCATTTTTTTCCTAGTTTATACGTGCTAATAACATCATTGAAAGATTCAACACAGTGGCTATTTCTAATTTCATATATCCGATTACTTAATTGCTCAAGAGGTTTATCNTTGCCTCTGACTAATTTCTTTATATGCTGTAGATAGTTTTTGAAAGTAAATGCAGAAAACTCATCCAGTGCTCCCCACTGTAATGCATCGTCCGCTAAGTGTAGCAATCCATGCGTGTTGTATGTAGCATTTTCCTCTCCATATAATTGTAGGAATTCAACAAAATATTCTTGTAGCAAGCCTTTTGCATATCTATTTTGCTCNAAGTCAATACCAGGAGTTGCTAGAAGACGCATCGCCACAGATAGTTTTATAAAATGATTATATATGTCAGATCTTACAATCTTGCGCAATACAACGGGCCCAGTATAAAACAAATGTTNACGGTGTTCAGTTGCTTTCATACGATCGAGTTCGTCCAAAGCTCGTGGTTTACGGACAAAGTCAAACGGAATATGTTGTCGAAGTTCAAGCTGTCGTTCGGAAATATCCGAAACCTGCTGTGCACCTAACTTTATCGGATTCAACTTTCCAGTCATTATTTTTAGTATTCTTTTTATGTGGCCTAATGCCACTAAATGCATATAGTCATAAGGCATTTGTGAAACCATATCAATATTGAGCCTCATNAAAGGACTTATTCCAATATGATGTTCTGGTTGCGACTGAGTTGCAAATGATTCTGCCGTTCGTAACGGAGCGTCCATTTCTGGATATACTACTTTTCCCAAGTACTTGCCTTTGGTTTCACATTTACCGCATGCATAATATCCCCCATGGCTTTTGACGCAGGAAATGTATGCTCTTGCAGAAGCATCGCATATGAAACAATCAATAATAAATTTACTGTTAATACCTTTCCAGGTATAGCCATTCTCTATAANACTCTCAGCTTCCTCAACGAAGTACTTTAAAAATACTTCTGCATCAGCTGGGGGTTTTTTATACCCGTGAAAAGCTCCGATGATGAATGGTAATTTGTTCTTNAAATTTCTGAAACTTCCCAGAATGGTCCATAATTGGCTCTTGGAACTTTTGGTAAGCGGTAATCCGTCTATATTGAACGATAGATGAATTTCTTCAGGTATGCATGCAATGGTGCCGCTTGTTTCAATAACGTGATGTAAACCTTCCGCAATACCAAAATGTATATATCGTCCATGTTCCATTGGAATAGTTTCCGACTTTCTGGGTGTTTTTAAGAGCGTTCGAGCGTCTGCAGGAAGAGACTTCATAGGATCTTCTACTTTCAATACCCTTAATAAAGCGGTTATTGCGGATCTAAATATATTATTTGTATGAATCCACTTTACTAGATTTTGTCGTAACCGATCAATATTGATACCATTATTTTCATCTTCCGATTCCGACAAAAGATCACTATCGTATTCGTCGGACGNTATTAATTCTTCTCTAATTCTTTCTTCTTGCATGATTTCTTCCTCATCTTGTAAGACCTCTTGGATCATTTCATCTTGAACGATTTGCGAAAAGCAATCTGCTTTTTTGACGTTTTCCTCCACATAACTATCGCGATTATCCAAATGTGGCATTTCGTCGCTTGCATGATGAGTCTGTAGATTCTTTTCTATATCGTGCACTGTTTGCTGTGCAAGTCTTCGCCGATATTTCAGACTGTATTGCTTTTGTTNTATCTGTTTTGGCATGACTTTGCAGTGTATGTTATACTGCAGAAAAAATGAAATTGATAGTATAGATATAAAGATTTAAAGATNATTATTGCATGCATATACATCACTCGCAAATGTGGCAAAAAAAATGACTCACAAAAGCATGCATGGAATTACTGCAGGCGTAATGTAAATTTATACAAACTAAACCATACTTTACAAGTTATGATATTAGAATTTTAGAACAATATTACAAATGCAAAGAAAAATATTACTATCAGAGAAAAAAACAAATATTTAAGCAGTGCAATATGTTAGCTTGCAAGACATTTGAAAATATAATNATATGAAAATACACTTTATTAGAAGCTTTTAGAAGCTATTAAAAGTTGCTACGTTTGAGTTCAAAATAACATGCAGATTTTTTTTTATTAGCAAATATATAAACGATCATGAGAGCCGTTTATATATCTGCTAATAAAAAAAAATCTCATGATCGTTTATATATCTAATAGTTTAGAAACTTAAGAGCCTAAGACAAGAGTTTTNTAATAATTGTTTAAAAACACGCCGGTGGAAGATGGCGTTATTAGAGTATCAGTTCATCTTTATATATATGTATATTGCGAGACAAACTCCAAGTGCCTCGGTGGCCGAATAAAAAAGGCGACGGCACGAAAAGCCGAAGATTCCCGATTTGACTCCTTGCCAAGGAGTTTTTTTTCGCAATATTTTACAATTAGTTTGAGAGGTATATCGAGTGTCTCATATATGAGATGCAAATATAACATCCTATATGATTTTAAGAATTGAAATTTCAATTCAAAAACCTCGCGTGTAAAAATTTACACGTACATACGTATATATATACATATACACGCATATTTCAGCACAACATCTAGCGAACGGCTCTCATAACCGTTTATATATCTGCTATTTTTAAAACTTAAGAGCTTAGACAAGAGTCTTCTAATAATAATTTTTTATTGTAGTTTGTATTGTTTTTATAACATTTGTGTAAATAAACGTGCAAAAATTTAAACATTACATATTTACATTTTGTAAAAATTAAAATTTACACAGTCAACATTTGTGTTTTAAATATTATTTAGTATAAGAAAATATTTTANAAACAGTTTAAAAAGTAAATTAAAAGTAAAAGTAAAAGTAATTTTATAATGTTTACTTTATAGATAATACTTTCTTTATAATAAGTAATAATAAANATCGACAATATATTGACATATTATTCAAATCACAATTTTATCTTTGTTTTAATTTTTAAACAAATANTACTTTATTTGTAATAACGAGTCTTTAATAAAGATCCTCTATACGGTTTATTAAATATATAAAGTGTCACATGTAAATAGACACAGCNAAAAATCTCGTAAATTGAGTTTTAAGGAAAAACACGTCTTTAGTATTTCGAGTAAGGATTCAAATAGCAGTAATAATTTCATAAGACATGGGCGTTTTCAAGGTAATTTCAAATTAACTTTTTTTTGGTATCGTAAATATATATTTTTTATTTTGGAATCGTATTCTACGTAACACAGCGCACAACTTTTGTCTGAAACATTTTTTTATAGGATTTCTGTTTTTCAAGATATTCAGAGTACCATTTACAGTATAAATTGTCCAATTGCATGATAAAATGTACGACGTGATGGATCTTTTTTCGGGGTACCGCAAAACATACAAATTAACAGCTTTTTNAATGTTTTGTTTTGATTTACCATAAAGAACAACTGTTTTAATTTTTCCTGCTGAATATTCCAAAAAATAGAAATAATGTTCTTTTATGGTAAATCAAGACGAAACATTGAAAAAGCTGTTACTTTGTATGCTTTGCNGTGTCCTGAAAGAAGATATCTATCACGTCGTACATTTTCTCGTGTAATTAGAAAATTTATACTGTAAATGTTACTCTGAATATCTTGACAAACAGAAATCCTATAAAAAAATGTTTCAGACAAAAGTTGTGCGTTGTTTTACGTAGAATACGATTCCAAAATAAACAATATAGGTTTATGATACAAAACAAAGTTGACCTTNAAATTACCTTGAAAACGCCCAGGCATTAAAAAATTATTATTACCATTTGAATCCTCACTCAAAATACTACAAGATGGTTTAACTTTTTTTTTAAACATTAGTTGTTTACGAAATTTCACAGCTGTATCACCTTAAATGGGATACCCTGTATATCGGTCAATCACAATAAAGTGATACAGCAGCTAAAGAAACACTATACAAATTATAAAAAAAAAAAACTAAAACTTTAATGTAATTTACAATGTTGAAATAACCTAATTTGTCTTAAAAAATCAATATATGAAATTCTAGATATTACTGAAAAGTTTCTTGACTTTTCCAGATTTNCCAGATTCTCTCTATTTTAATAATCGCTAACTTTACCAAGAAACCACTGTCGTNAGCAATAAATCGATAAAAACGCGAAAAGTCTCAAGTTTTTTCTACATTTCAAGTGTTTTAAAAATATATTAAAGTTAATAAAAAATTGTTTTCAAAAAAAACTTCAAATAGTTAATCTTACATTATTTTTAATCTTACATTATTTAAAATATTCACATATATAAAAAAAGTGTAAAAAAAACATTGATTTTTTGACCCGCCAGACTCGAACACTTAAAGAAGATAACATTATGCCTTATACCATAACTATATAAGATAGTAAAATGTCTTTAAAAAATTATACAAGTCGTCAATAATGCAACAATAATAGAGGTTTTAACAATATCAACGAAAAGAGATCTCAAGAAAGTCAGTAAAACTTTTTGTTATACAATATCGCAAAAATTATGTTAGACTTTTTAAAAATGCTCCAATAATCTGAAAAAATTCAGGAATATATTATATTCCGTGATTCATTTTTGGTAGTTTACTAAAATTAATGCTATTCTTTTGGATTGTATTCATAGTTGATGATATAGTCTCACAAATTCAAGCAAGAGAATTGGTTCTCGAGTCACATGCATTTAATTTGCATAAGTATCATTTTCAGTGATACGATGGCGGGCATATACTTTTACACTGAATACTAAGTAAAACAGTTGCTCGCTTACAGTAATATCCATCATGCGACATATCCACCCATAACAATAATATTCATCGTACGGCAAAAGTCTATACCAGTGGCACTGGTAAAAATCTGTTTTTACCAGTATTTTCTGGTAAAAACCGGCAAAAANTAATGTTTTCTAATGTTGAATACTAAATGCAAACCAGATACATATTGTTAATAAAATATAGTTAATAAAAGTAATCTGCTTAATTAAAGCAAAACATTTTCTAAAATCATATAAATATATAAATATATTTTAATGTTACGTATATATACAAGGTTTCTGAAAAATTTTGACACAGCCAAAGTGTGAAGGTAGAGTAGATTAATCTGAAATCAAAAAATCATGTACCATTTTGAAANATTCGCAACAGTTATTGAGTGATTATTTAATGCATTTCATCTAATGAGCATTGTGGTAAGCAATGGTCCTGACTCTGTAAACGTCTATGATTTTCAGTTGTGAAAATCAGCTAATCTCAAGAAGCTGTGTCACTTGCTACTCATTTG